TCATGAATTACCTTTTAGTAGGGAATTGATCCAGATACACACACACACACACACGTACTGAGGTTCCAAGAAAACTCTAAATATATGAAAAACTAGAAGACACCTTATCAACCTTTAAGCTAGATGATTTAACGTGATTAAATGGACAACTACAACAATATTTTTTAATTAAAAACATCACCCCTTGCCTATTTTTTATTAGAAAAAAGACGAAAAATAAATAAAATTCGAACGAAATAAATTATACCAGAAAACGATCATATTTTTGTCGTTAATTTACATCTATATTGATATATTTTTTTATCCGTTTTTTTGTGATTTTTTGGTTTTTCATTTATTTAACGTTTTTCCTTGAACCTGACTTTATATGTGTATATATATATATATATATATATACATATATATATATACATATATATATATATATATAGTGTGTGTGTACAAGGCCGCAATCAGATGAAAACTCCATATAGGTGAAAACTTTGGGAATATTTACTTTAAAGTATTGTTTCATATGATCTTTGGGTAACTTTTAATGTATTGATGAGTATATTTGTTTCAAAATATGTTTGTTTCATATTTATTGGTTTATAATGTGAAACTTTTTTATGTTTAACTTTTGTTTCACAAATAGACTAAAAAGGTTTACATTGTAAAACAAATACATTGTGAAACAAATATATATATATATATATATATATATATATTAATTAATATTAAATCTTACTCTTAGATGGAAAAAAATCATATAAAATAACACGTAATGCGTTTTTTTCTCACGATTGTCACAATTTCAAGGATTTTGAAAGAAAGTCCCTAAGTCTGCATTTGGTACATGATACAAAACATGACAGGACGGGACAAAACTCACAGTCTCACGTTTCGCACAACATATAATAGAACAAGAACTTATTGTCCCACGTTTGGTGTGATATTGGACAGAGACAAGAACTGTGACATTATGGGATATTGTTTAAATTTAAAACTTAATTATGTAAAGACGATTTAATTATATTGTTCTTTTTTATCACTGCACTAAACAAGTTTATTATCGATACTTTAACACCAAAATAATTGAAAATCACTAAGAAATCATTCAGGGGGTTTTAGAATCATTAAAAGACAGACTTTTTTTTTGTCAAACAACATTCACCTCTTAACGATTCAGAGACTGCCTGCTAATGGAACTATTAAGAGGTAAACAAACAACTACAGAGAGAAAGATGTGTTATTATGCAACATTTTACATTCCTACAACCAAATCAGAAGCGTCCATTTGGTCATCAACGATTACGGTAATCGGTTGTAACTTGTAACTACTTATAATTACAAAAAAAAAACCCAAAAAAGAAAAAAAAAGTAGATAGTGGATAACTAGATTGCACCGTTGTATTTAGAAAAAAAGACAAAAGAGTCGCCATTGGATTAATCGGTTCGCATAGCAGGTTGGATATCTAGGTTAATAAAAAAAATGACAAAAGAATAGACAAAAAGATTAAAATAGTCCTTGATTTAACAGAAACATCATTATTTTACACCAAAATACGGTAATAAATTGTAAAACGTCAAATCCAATGTAACATTTAAATTAAGTACTTCTAAATTTAAATGTTTTCATACGTTACTCGTAGTATAATATAAATTAAAGATGTATTCCTTTTGAAGCTTTAATAGATCTAAATTTTATGTATTCAACTTGCTTAATATAATGTTTATGTTTCATAATAAAATAATTTAGTTCGAGAGTAAATACAACCTATTAATTTAGTTTACTTAAAAGTAGTATGATACTATAATCTATCTATACTTATGGTACATGACTTTTCAATTTCATAACACTGATAGTTCATGGAGTTAACACCATTAGTTACAACCGTTACAAGGGACAAATCAGTCTTTGAACAAACTACAGAGACCAAAAGTGTAATTCACTCCAAAATAGTATAGGTCCACATAAGTGGCCACCTGTGTTGCCACAGTGGGGGAACAAATACACACTGGACATTTTGATCGCTATAAATAATAAAGGGATAGTAATACCGAGATTGTGTTCGCAGGGAGACATCAAATTTTGAGTACTAAGTCGATAATACAATGATTTCAATTAGAGAAGAAAAAAAAAATTAGTTTAAAGAAAGTGGTACGAGTGTAAGCATTATCCAAGACATTTTAGTGACCTCATGGTCATAAACATGTGGTCACAAAAACATATGCAAGAGTCATTTTCTCTCGAAAGTGAATTACCACGGATAATGGCCACATGTCCCCACAAAGTCACCATTTTGATTTCCTTCATTTGCACCAGATATCGATTAACTTTATTTCGTTTTGTCATTTACCTTTTTTCTTCTCTTCATCTTCTGTGTTCTAAAAAGCTTGACCTTCAACCACAAGGGTGGTGCCTGATTGGTTTGAGCTTGGCTCCAAAGGTCAAAAGTGTCTGGAGGTCTCAGGTTCAACCAAGAAGGAACAAAAATCTCTTTGTGGCCATGAAGGTTTAAATGCGGTGACTCCGGGATACCTGTAAAGCAGGTGGTCGTCCTGGGATTAGTCGGCTCGCATAACGGATTGGATATCCAGGTTAATAAAAAAAAAGTTTGACCTTCAAGAATGTCATTATGCAACCGCAATGCAAAAAATGATATTTTTCAGCTATCCATGGATTTACATCGCTCACCATAGTGGCAAGCGGAGTGACCATTTTCTGTAATCTAACATTTAACTCAAAAACAATGCGTCCAACCATCAAAGCACAGACTTTTATTATCAACAACTCCAAATAAAAATAAATAAATAAAAGGAGAAACACAAACACAGAAAGGGGAAACACGCCAAAAAATGAATGAAAAACACACATAAACGAATTTAATATATAACTATCTTACGTTAACCGTACTTAGCTTCAAATACTTTGTTTGGATATTTCAATGTCCAACCCAAAATAATATGTAAACTTCTCTTGAGTGATTTGTTCCACACAACGGTCGCTAACTGGTGGTGTTAACTCTACGAATATTATAAAGCTGAAAAGTTATGGACCATCAGTGCAAACAGTTTGTTTTAGGGACCAAATCCAGATATAAAGCAAACTATAGGGACTACCAATATAATTCACTGAAAATTATATATAATAAAAAAGAATATACTTAGAAAGTCTGTTTAATGTAAAAAAAATATCATATTACCTATTAAATATTGTTAGCACGAAATTTACGTATTTAAATTTACAATTTTACCCTTATTTGATATCTTTCTCTTTTTGCAATCCATTAATTAAAGATATATTTTAGAATTTTAGTTACCTTTTTTTAAACTTAGCATTTATTTCGACACAAACATAAATATAAATACATACATTTATTTTAAAGTAAAGAGATATATCTAAAAAGTAATTTTTTCTATTAACATGGATATCCAATCTGTTATGTGAGCCAACTAATCTCAGCTCGAAGTCACTGCATTTGAACCTCCATGGTCATACGGAGATCTTTTATTTCTCATTGGATTCGAATATGAGATCTCCAGACGCTTTGAACTTTAAAACCCAAACTTAAATCAATCGAACACCACCCTTATAGTTTAAGATGTAAAATTTATTACATTGATTAAAGATGTTACTGGGTTTGTCCGTAATTAGCAACTTGTATATGTTGTTTTTTAATCATCATTCATGTTTATCTTCCAAGACACTCCAAAACAATTTTTGTCTAATCACAAGTAGCACTTCATCATTTCCAAAACCTTTTTTCGATTCACTTTTTTATATCCTCCCACGTTAATTTTATAATTTTTAGATTTCAAAATTTAACATGAAAAATCTATCTTACATGTAAAGGTCGTTTGCAAAACATTTACCTGGTAAGTGTTTACCGGTAAAATTTAATATTATTATTTACTTATTGGGTAAGATTTTAGTCCATAAAAACAATATTATATGCAACAATTTACCCGGTAAGCGCTTACCGTGGTAAAATTGTCGCCTTCACTTACCGAGTAAGGCTCTTGGTCCTTGTCTTGCTCTTACCGGGTAAGATTCTTGGTACTTACCATTAGGGGTGCTCAAAAACCCGACCAACTCGATCAACTCAACCCAACTTGATGCGAAATAACCCAACCCGAAGCAACCCGATGTCTAATCGAGTTGAAAAATTATCAAACCGTAGATATTGAGTTACTATTATTTAAACCCAACCCAAGCCGATGAACCCGATATCCTTTTATATTCTGGATTTAATATGATTGTTGAATTTTTATTTATATATACATTAGACAATTACACTATCATGTATGTTTTTCATATACACATATCTTCAATCTATTCATATCTCTATATAACTCATTCATATATATGTAAATTGAGAAAATTAACTGAATGTAATATACGTAAGAAATATGGATAAGTTGTATCAAATGGTTGATGATGAAAAATAAATTATGAGTAGAGAAATAACATATTCAAGGTTAGAAGAATATATTAATATATCAAAGTATCAACCCGACCAACACGGGTTGGTCGGGTTGGGTTGCACTTTGGTTTAGGTTGGATTAAATTTTTTCCAAATCATAAGTATTTGATTGGGTTGTTTAAAAGTCTTCTATCCGATTAATCCAACCCATGAACACTTTTACTTACCATATTAATGCGGTGAAGTAACGTGATTTAATTTTTTTATTATATTTTGAAATAATATGGTTTTGTGTTAATTAATTAATTTATAAGAACAATCCACCTGGCAATAATAAAGTTGGCAGTTTGCAAGGGGGGAAATGGTACCTATCCCAACTGGACCCCGCCAATTCCAGCTAACCTTCGAAGCCATGCTACTGTCACCAAGACTTTAATATCACCCACAAGCCACGTCACCGTTTACGGTGTACAGACTGATAACTGTAACACGGAATTCAATGCAACCACTTGTCAATTTAAAAATTCCCAGGCACGAAAGAGTAGGATAAAACCCCACTTTCTGTATTCATCTGATTCCTACCGAATGGAGTAGAAGAAATTCAAGATTCAAACCGATAGCAAAACCTCCTCTGTTTTGATAACCTGCGCCGATGGAGAACTACTCCTACACCTCCTATGCGGAGTCCGGCGAGTCGTCTCCCAGGTCTCGTGACGTGGACTTTGAGAATCCTCAGCCGTGGGAGGATCAGTCGGGTTCGACGAATAGCAGTGGGAACAACTATAAGGTGAAGGTTATGTGCAGTTATGGAGGTAAGATCCACCCTAGGCCTCATGATAACCAGCTCTCTTATGTCGGTGGGGAGACTAAGATCCTAGCTGTTGATCGTTTTGTGAAGTTTGCTGCTGTCAACGCGAAATTAACGGCGTTATGTGACGGAGAAGTTTGTTTTAAGTACCAGTTGCCGGGTGAAGATCTAGACGCCTTGATTTCCGTCACGAATGATGATGATCTGGAACACATGATGCACGAGTACGATCGGTTGAATAGAGCTTCGCCTAGTCCAGCGAGGTTGAGGCTGTTTCTCTTTCCTCTTAGTGGTCAAAGTCCGGCATTGACTCCCGTTCACAGTTTTGGTTCGACTGAGGGGAGATCGGAGCGGGAACGGTTTATGGATGCTTTGAATTCTGGTCATGTGCAGCCTAACACGCCACCGTCAGCACCGCCGCCGCATGGGAACGTGGAACGCTTTTTCGGTTCGGACAAAGGAATGCCGATGCAGCCATCTGGAGTGGCGTCAAAAACTCGAGATCAACATATCGCAGATCCGCATATTCATCCACATGAGCCCGAAATTGCTGTTCTAGATGAGCGTGGAATCGAAGCCGATCGGATCCAGAAACACATCCAGGACCTACAGAGGTTGCGAATTGGAGAAGAGCAACAACCGGCTCTCTACAGGAAACCAAGTGATGATAATCTCGGTGCTGGTTACACAGGAGACTACTATGTCCCGAAAATGACCGAAAAAGTAGCTCCGACAACATTGCCGGGAACTGTACCCGCTCCTGCTGCCGGATACCAAATTTCCGGCGGATTTACAACATCAACAATATCATCGGATCAACAACCCGTTTACATGATTCCAGCTCACGCGAGTATGTATCACGCGCCCATGGCAAGACCAGCTACCGCTCCTGTCAATCACGGCCAGGGATACTACGTCCAGAGGATGCCAACCGAGGTTTACCGAGATCAGCCAGTTTATAACGTTATGCCACCAGCACAACCAGTGGTGACTCAGCAAACCACACTGTCGTCACAGCAACAGTATCTACCACAAAAAGTGGCGACATATACGGAAGGCTATCGGATGGTCCAGTCGACAACAGCTGTGACAGATCCGGGTCCGGGGGCGGGGTATGCTCAGGTGGCGTACGACAACGGGACTGGAAGGCAGATTTACTACACCACCCAGGGCACGGTTGCACAACCACAACAACCGCAACAACTGCAACAATCACAACCGCAATTGCAACCAACTGCACAACAGTATCAAGCAATGGCTGCCGCTGCAGCTGCGGCGACATTAAATCAAGAGAGTGGCGGTACTAAGGTTGTTCCTGCAAACATGAAAGATTTCATATGAACTTATGAATCTGTATGTGCCATCCTTCCAGATTCTATGAGATTTTCCCCATTACGTACGTTATGTGGACCTCATATTCTGAAAATAAGGTACACTTTTTTTCAAATTGAAATGGTTAGATCCAGAACAATTGTTGTATGCTATTCATGGAAAATCTGTTTTTGATCTGGCTTTGATCATTTTATTTTGAAAATCTGTTTAGCCATAAGTAAGTTTAATATTTTTGGGGAGATAGGAAGGACCAAATTCATAGAAATAGTCTTATATTATTTCTTATCACTCCTAAAAATTTATATGATTTGGATGCTGTTTTCGAAGCTTTATTTTTACTCCTGTTATGTCGGTAGTCAAGTGGAAATTTGTTCATATAGTTGTTTTACTACTTAGTTTATAGATATATGAAATCTGTGTGCTCGTATGTTTCAGTTTTTTTTTCTTACAACTTTTTACATATATTTAATCACTTTCATATGCACGAAATTGTTAAAGTTTGGTAATAAAATAGTTAGAGGTAGATGAAGATATATCAAGGTTTTAAATGATGTGACGGCGAAGTCAAGTCTCAAGCCTTACGAGTTACGGCAAAATCACAACGTTTTGAAGGTGTGCCTTAAGGCAGCACACACTCACACTCACTCTCACCGTTGTATGTGTTAGTGTTTTGAATAATACTTTCGAACAATTTAAATTCATATAAATTAATAAAAGTAAAAAGAAAGAAGAACCATTGATACCAAATATATAGAGCTTATAGAAAATTATAGCAAGAATGTAAAATCGAGATTAAATCTCTTGAATCTCTACTCACTATTTTTTTCAATTTTCAAAGAATTCGTGTTCGACTTTCCGTGTACAGAAATTTGAGTAAATATTTATCTATTTATGTTTTTAGTTTTTAGGTTTTCTTTTTATGTTTATTTAAGTTGTATGTTTCATACATAATTATCATTTATCGTTCAAATTATATATTAAAGTAGCCCTGCACCTTACAAAATAAGGCGTTGTAACGTGCCATAACGAATTATAGTGAGTTAAGCCTTAGAGTGAAGTCAATGGGGTTAACACGGTGATGAATGCAAGCCTTGACGTCATAACGAGTTATTTAGACCCATGAGATATATAAAGTTTTGTTCTCATATTTTCGTCATAACTCTTATTCTCACAACCTACCTTATATAGATAGAAGACGAAATGAACATAAAATTTGGTTAAATATTACTCTAATTTTGATGAATAAGGTTGGTTTTGTTCTATGTCTCTCTAATTTGCACTTCATTTTGTGTTTCTCTATATTGGACCCGATATTTCATTGAACTAAAACTAAATTGGTGAATACAATCCAAATGAGGCTCAAACCAAAGATAATGACGATGCGACATAGATCACATCTAAAATCAGTCAACTAATTGTAATGACACCATGAAGTATTTGGTGAGGTTCAACTTCACTTATACAAGCGTGGAATCACACTAAATAGCATCTTGAAATTAAAATTACCGACATATCTTTTCTTATATTGATTGTATGATACACATCAACTCTGAAGCTCAGAACCTGAACTTTAATTCCGATTCATGTTTCATTCTATTCTCGTCCCTCTCCAATTTTATTTATAGTTTTGTGTGATTTTGAGGAAGGGAAGAGAGTTTCCGGTTGATCTATCAGTTTTATGAAATATTATATCAGTTAGTTTTATAGAGGTCAAACATTGACGGTAAGAAGTTACTTATCTATACTATATTATAAAACATTTGACAAAAACTCTTAAAACTATTTTTTATACATAAAGTACTGTTTATTGATGCATGTTACTTAAAATTCAAGATTACAAGTGAATTGTACGTAAATACAACTTATTAAAGCTATATGTCTGAATTTGTGCAAATAACTGCAGATAAACATAATCAAAAATACATGATAAACATCTCATTTTAAATATAAAAAACCTAGAATATAATTAGGATAATCATTTAGAAATACTTAATTATTATCTTTATAAAATATTTTATTATTAAACCAAAAATAAATTACTTCGTTATTAAACTTAAATTAAATTATAATAAAAAAATAAATTAAAAAAATTACACAAAAAAATGAAAACTTTTAAATAGTCAATTTGATACTGACATTGATATAAAAAAATTCAAATTTTTATGATACACTCAAATTTATATTTTATTCAAAAATAAAATAGTTATCGTTTTCTTAAAAACACATAAAATCGTATTATAACATCGATAGCGACAAAGAATAAAATAAAACATTAAAATCGAGATGTATCTCACTGCATTGCGTGAGTACCTTTCTAATATATGTAATAATAAGTTGTAATCTTGAATTTTAAAGAGATTTTAAGAACACAAGGTTAACATTGTATACTTGTATAATATTGTAATTATATAAATATGATTTGCTCATAATAAAACGAAATAAAACCGTATTATAACATCGACTTAGACAAAAAATAAAACGAAATATTAAAATCGAAATAAATCTCGCTTCATTAAGCAAATACCCTTCTAATACAATCAAATATATAAAACACAATCCAATCCATCACATGCCATGTCTCCTTTCTTAATTTATTATCGTATTTGCATCTTCAAAATCAATAACAACTTACCATAAAAGATCACATAAAAACATAGAGGGAAGTTCAGTAGAAAATCCAAGAAAATGAAAAACTAAAACACACTTCGCTAACCATTCATCGGAACGGTATGTATATATATATACAAGTAACTGAAGCTAGTTTTTGGCTTTTAGTAAGACCCCAAATACATACACATGAATCTTGTCGAGTCATATTTTTTTAAGATTAATATCAAAAATACATTTCAAACTTTGCCTAGAAAAAATGATGTAACAAAAGGTTGATGCAAAAAGTGTGCAAGGGTCCGTTTACCAAATACTTATCTGGTAAGTGCTTATCAGTGAAAGTTAGCATTATTATTTACTTATTAAGATTTCAGTCCACCAAAACGACATCACATACAACAATTTATCCGGTAAGAGTCATTGCTCTCACTTAACGGGTAAGACTCTCGGTTCTTGTCTCGATCTTACCGGGTAAGAAAGATTCTTGGTCATTACCATATTCATTCGGTTAGATAAGATGGCTTGGTAAACGCTTACCCGAGTAAGCGTTTGGTAAACGGCCCCTAAATGCTAGAAACTTCTTGTCCCAAAATTCTGTGTCTCATCCCTGTCAAACAATTACGAATCACGTGAAGAGACGTCATCATAATTAGCAATAAAGAAGGGAAATGCAAAATCTAGGATCAATGAAGAAACCTTTGGAAAAATTCAATAAAGAATAGCAAGAAAAAGGTACACAAATATTCTGTTATTAACTGAAATTGAAGCTGTAGAAGGCCAAATGAAAAAATCCCACCAAGAGCGGTGGCGTTTACAGGGCGAACGATGCTTGATTGGCCTCAAAGCCGAAGGTACCCTCCCCTTTCCCCACCTCCGATGGTTCGTTTGAGGAAGGATCTATGGTTGATGGACCAGCTTCTTTTCAAAGCTCTTTGTCTTCTCCACGCGGTTAATCGGCTATAGAGGAATGGAAACAGGAAGCATAAGAGCACAAGAACTAATGTCGCCACACAAACCAACAGAACGTTTCTGAAACCATTTTTCAGCTTCGGGTCTCTTTGCTGAGTCCAAGGGACACCTCCCACGTTCATCCCAAACACTGTCGGCATATAATCCAAGAAAATTTCAATGTCAAAATATGAAATCAAGAGCTTAAGTGCCATTTGGAAATGTATGCCCCTGTCTCAATATATATGGAACCCCCATTAGACTACTTTCCAGAAGAGCCGCAGAGGAGAGGAGAGGAGGTTCTAGCATATATTGAAGAAAAAGTGTCCAAGTCTAGCCGATCTAACACACACCCCTGCCATGAAGACTAGATGGGAAAAGATGTCTCAGATGGTAGACCTCAGTTCCGATACCATGTAAAAATACGTGGAACTCCATTAGACCACTCTTCAAAAGAGCTCCTGAGGAGAGAAGGGGAGTTCAACTTAAGATATATTGAAGAGAAAGGGTCCAAGTCTAGCCAATCTGGGACTCTGAGATGGTGGAACCATGGGTCGGAGTGAACGTTGGTGATTTTGGGCTCCTTTAGGTAGGGTGGTTACTGGTTACAGGAAGTTAACAAAGTAGCAAGGGTGCGTTTGATACGTAGACGGGATGGGACTGGACCGGATCGGACGGGACGGATGAGAATGAGGTAGATGAGGGTTTTAGGCTTTTAACTTGACATGGGTAGTAGTTTAGTAATTTACCAATCTTGTCCCATATCTTCACGACAGAAAATTTGCATTTTTGTCTCACTCAGGTCTGTCCTGCCCAGTCTAATGTCGCAACAACTTAAGACAACAAGTCTTTGTACTGTTGGTATCTTCTACTCTATACGATTCAATCTGGTTTGTGCGGTCAAACCTATTGCATTTCAACTTCAAAACTATTACGAATTCAGAGAGAAGTTTAACAGCAAGAAGCATCCAGGTAAAGCATTGTCAAACTTTTCTTGAAAATAAATAAATTTCTTAATAAATTTGAAGTTGAAAACTTTCTTGTTTGACCTCAATAATCAAATTATACATGTAAACGAGGATGTACTGATGAGTGAACAAAAAGATATGATTTTAATGCTAAAAGGATACTGAATAGGTAAGTTTCGAGTAAAAAATCTAACCTCCTGTGATGATGGATAGCGGAAGGAATATGATCGAGAGGAAAGAGAGACAGTACAGTTTTCTGTTGATTTGCTCGGCCTGCCAGCTGTCAAGACCAGCCTGGACGGCTGTGACTCGATTGCTTATGAAGCCAACGTTGTCCTTTAGTCTTCGGAGTCGCCCAATCAACTCTTCAAGTGAATTGATGTCTTCACTGCTAAACCAATCTTTGGTGGAACACTTTTCTTTCACTCGCGGGAACACTTGTTCCCCGTGTGCAATCGACTGTGTTCATAAAAAGACACGAGACTTCACGATAAGGAAGATTTGCTAGAAAATAACACAAAACTTATCCAGCCTCAATTACTTGGAAAGTCAAGCCTAGCACTTTGAGGGTACGTTTGATATGTGCGAGCAACAAAACTTATTGTACCATGTTTGACACGACATTAGACTTAGACACGATAGGACTTGAGTGGGACAAAACACCAAAATAGGTGGAACAAAAATTTGGGAAATAGGACAAGGGGCTGTTTACCAAATTTTCCATTAAGTCTTGTATGGATAAATTTGTCTGTTTGGATAAAAGTATGTTGTTGTTTACTTTTCTATCCTGAATAATAGTCTGAATGATAGAAATGACATTTTTATACCCTTCAGTTCATCAGATTCATGGTTTGCATCTCTCAACATCCAAAAAAAACCCAAGCTACTGAAATTGTTGTTCTTAAATATCAAAAAACCCAAGCTACTGAATAAAGAAGATAAATGAGATAAAAGTGTTTCGATTTATTTTCGCACCAGCAATGATATTTTTTTCGGTGAAGCAGCACCAGCGATGAAAACCGACGGGAACAAATATTGTTGACGGGAAGAAAGTGAATGGGGGGAGAAATCAACAAGAAGAAAGTGAACAGGGGAGAAATCGACAAGAAAGTGAACAGGGGAGAAATCGACAAGAAAGTGAACAGGGGAGAAATCGACAAGAAAGTGAACAGGGGAGAAATCGACGGGAACAAAAATGGGTACCTGTGTTGATTAAAACCGAAGGAAGAAGGTCGCGGGACGGAGAAAAGTTTCCGGAGAAGAGGTGCAGCACCGTTCTAGAGGCGACGTTGGCTAGGGTTTGAAGTGAAACGAAAAGGGGAGGCGTGGGATTTTAGGGGTATAATTGTCAATTTTTTGGCTTAACAGGGACAACACACCCTCACCATACTGTGCGAATAAGCTCATTATTTTATCATTAAGCCACGCTGAACCCCTACCTTTCCCACTAAGTCCAACGCAAGGACTCTTTCTTTTATTGATGATGCGTAAGCCGCAAGTAAACATCCATACATGGCTGTGGGAATAAGCCAAAATATCCATTAAGCTGATTAAGGCATGAGTAAACACCCTCTAAGCTAAGCGTATCAAATTTTTCACCCACCTACCTCTCTCTCGCCTGTCCAGGCCAATTCAGTCCCGTCTGTGTACCATACTCCCCCTAAAGATTCCTAATCGCCAAGATTTATGTAACTATTCTCTGGCTAAATTGTTTGGATCATGATATTATTTTTTGCAGTTCAATGTAGTTGTCTTCTTCTATAAACAATGGAAAAATAACTGTCATCTATTTTCAAGTTACAAGTTCAAAAGCCAAATATGAAATCATTTCTAGGATGGAAGGAGTCAAAGAAGGTGGCAAGAACTACCTGCAGGAGGCGTTGCAAATCTAGATGCATTTTGGGAAATCTTCTATCGTCCAACAATTGTTTCTTCAAAGCAAAACCACCTGAAATTTGGAAATTACATTATTAAACATAAGTTGAAGTATGATGAGTTCACTAGATGAATATGCAAACCATGATTCAAGATTTCGGATTAGAAACACAAGTTTACCTTTATCCAAATCAACTTCTACAGAATCGAGCTCAATCTCAAGTTTAGTAACAACATCCTCAAGATGATCCAGATGCGTGTCAATAACATGAACAACAAGATTTGAGACAGATTTAGGAACAGGATTGTCAGCCTCCTCAGAATGATTCATCGTCAACAAGAAATCAAGAACATGTTCCTTGATCACAATGCCACCCCTTTCTATCGTCTCATCTCTACCAAATTTAGGACTTGGGCTCTCGACACTTGGAATTTCAGTAAGAAGAGACTGGCCCATGGGCGAAAAACCCAATCTGGGTACCCGGCCTAATGACACAGTAATCACTGAATGCTCAGTAATTCTAGCAGCCAATCTGAATGTAAACTTGCTAGAGGCTGGACCAGGTGAGTTGACCCTGAATACAAGTGCCCCATCAACATGAGCACAATAGGGTCCATTGCTAACTAAAGAAAGAATGCCTTGAAGCTTCAATGGTGGACAAAGAACATCAATTAGGTACTTTGCCGATTGAGAAAGTTTTTGGTTCCCTTTAGGAAGTTCAACATGATACCAACAGAACTTTTTGCCGCTACCCTCTGCTAAATCCCATTCTTTATCACAGTAATCCCCAAACCCATCAAATCTATATGCTTTTAGTCTAACCAGACCAGGATAACGAGTCGGAAAGGGACGCGTCTGAGGTTGATGAACTCCTGTGGATGATCCTGCCTCCAAATCCTCTTCGTCCATCTCGTGGTTTAGCATCTCCCTACCCATCTCTAAAACAAATTCCTCAAAAATCTTGCTTAAAACATAACTTATTGAATGAAAGCATTAACTCAAACACCTGGCCTGCAACGCGTTATCCCTTGAATTTGGAGATCACAGCAATCTTTCAGCTGCTTGCTTGGGGATCAACAAACTAAAACCCCCAACAAACAATAATTCTTAAACACATAAATAACTGATGAGCCAAATCCTTTCACCAAACCCGCCAAGAAAATAGCTACTTTAAATTTGAAACCACATTGATTTACCCCTGGTGAAAGAATCAACATACTTTAGCACAGAATCTATACGAACTGAACCCAAGATAAGTATGGATTCAACATCAGACATTCGGGAAAAATGCAAATTAAGAGAAACCCATAAAGAAAAGGTTTTACCTCATTGAAGCCGACGACTTCTTTGTATGAACTTGTAAGATGAAAGTAAACGTATAATAAAAATGGCGTCGGACGGAGGAAGCAAGACGAAAAATAATTTGGGAAGACACGAAGAATCAACTGGCTTTCACATATCCTGCCAGTTTCCCGGAAACTTCAAACGTCCAGATTTAAGAGTTTTTTTTTTTATTATATTACTTAATAAATAAATTATTTTTTTTTTTGAATATTCTTATATATCAAAATATAATATTTATAGGGATACTTTTTCATACTAGAAGATATTCGCATAATGCATTAAGATACATATTCATTTTAATATTTTGTTTTATTTTTTTGTCTTTGTTGATATAATACGATTTATGTAGTTTTGAGAAAGATAATGTTTTTACTTTTGAATAAATATAAATTTGAAGACGTCATAATTTTTTTTAAAAATATATCAATATCAATATCAAATTAACTATTTAATAGTTCTTGTTTTTATATAATTTATTTTTTTATTATAATTTAATTTAAGTCAAATAATGAAGTAATTTATTTATGGCTTTACAATATATTTTTTATAAAGATAATGATTCTGTTAGAACTCGATAATTATCTTAATTATATTTTAGATTTTTATATTTAAAATAAAATATTTATTCTCTATTTGATTATGTTTATCTATAGTTGGTTACACGAATTCAAACATTAAACTTTAATAAGTTATATTTACGCATAATTTACTTGTAATCTTGAATTTTAAGTAATATGTATCAATAAATAATACTTCATGATAAAAATGGATTTTAAGAGTTTTTGTCAAATGCTTTATAATATAGTATAGATTCTTTTAGATGATTATGGTTTATAAATTTTAGAGTAAACTACAAATTTGGTCATGCTTTATTCTTTCTAACATTTTTGGTCTTTACAGTTTCGAAATTACAGATTTGCTTTGTGATATGCAAAAGCAACCGGATTTGATCTCTCACTCTAATGACCGTAAAAAGAACCCGTCAAGCCAGGAGTCTTTTTCTACTTTTATCTCAATTTCTTTAATATATATGTATATTAACGGGACCAAAAATGTAACTTAATATAATATTTACACCAAAAAACGTAAACCTAAACCCAGAACAAAGTTTTTCGTATGCATACACCTCGTCGATTACAACTCTCCGTCAGCTAATTCCCACCCGATTGCCAACAAACCTCACCACTACCCCACCACTCCTCCATCAACGAATTCCAAACTGTCACCACCATTCCTTCGCCCAAATCAAACCTCTGTGGATCCTCGTTGCATTTCTCTCCCTTTGGTCATGACAAACCCCAAATCATCGCCTAAAGCAAACCATTTAGGGGGTGTTTGGGATTGCTTATTTGAAACAACTTATGCTTTTCTACAAACTCACTTATCAACTTATTATAAGTCAGAAGGGTTTAACTTCTTCAAAAACTTCTTATTATCGGTTTGACACCGGTATAAGTTGTTTATCCAAACACTCAAAAGTGCTTATTACCGGTGTCACACCCCCTTAGTCACAAACTTCCTTGCCGATGTCCCTCTCTCCCGATCTCAGTATGCCCCATTGAAGCACCTCGTTGTCGTCCCTCTCCCTCTTAGGTCTACCAAATCATCAAGTCTACAGATTATGAAGCAAACTTGTTGGGGATGCAAAAGGCGGAAATTTTCTTCTTCTGTTTACTTCTTCCCTGTGATTTACTTTTTGAAGATACAAATATAGGTTTGATTTTAGTTTTGAGATTTTAATTTAGATTTGGATTAGATTTATTTGTAATATATATATATATATATATATATATTTATTACTCATGGTTCTTCTCCATTACTTTGATTTTTGAATTTGGATTTTGAAACTGATTTTGATTCTGAGATTTATTTTTTTGGGATTGATTTTTGTTTATGTTTTGATCGGAGAAGATGAAGATAGTTGAAGAAGACGATGTTTGGCCGAAGAAGATGATATGAACTATAATTTTGGTCTCTGATTTTGATCGGGTAAAAAAATAGTAAAAGGACCAAGTTATCCCTAACATAACGGGTTTTTTTTAACGGTCATTAGAGTGAGGAACCAAATTTGATAGTTTTTGTATACCAAAATGACGAATCTGTAATTTCAAAAATGTAAGGACCAAAAGTGTTACAAACAACAAGCCACAGGGACCAAATTCGTAGTTTACTCTCATATTTAATTAAATTCAAGATCGTGTCCGTGAAAAATAGATTATACTTGATTAAATATAAAGCAAAAATAGTAAAGATGGCATCCGATTTCTGACAACAATTATTTTACTTTAAATATTGAAAAACTATTGTTAAGATATAATATTATCAGTATGAATATTTTCTAGGATACGTTGAAGAACTTATTTTTTAAATAATTACCGGTTGTGTATCCGTGCAATGTGAAGGGAGCCGTGAATTTTAATGATTTTAAAGTTTCATTGGTTTTATTATAGAAGATTTAACGATGATATAAATTACACTTGGTCTTTACATATTAATACAATTTGAATAAATAAAAGTTATGGTTTCAATTACAGTCTATTGATGAAAAAAATTGTATGACAGTTTAAAATCCAATATATTTAAAATCCAACATATTTAAACGACTCCACAAATGTGTTCGATTTACACCATAAAGCAAAAAATCAAGAGATCGAGAGGGAGACCGAAAGTTCTAGAACAATTGAATGAGAGATGAACGAGAGAACTTTTCGTAACTCATGGTGAATATCAGTTTAAATCTCACATTGGAGGATGAGGTGAAGACATGAGTAAAATATGTTAAAAGTATCTTGAGAACATGAAAAGAAAATGTAATAATTTGCATTGGTAACTTGTACTATATGTTATTTTAATTGTACATTAAAAGATTTTAAAACTGAACGCATAAAATAGTACTTAATGCATTATGAGTTGTTTTTAAGATAGTATAGATTATTTCAAGGAATATTTTTGAAGTTTAAATTTAAGGATTATTAAAAAAATACGTTTATCTTATTATATATTGTTGAAATTACATACGTGAAATTTGATGTGTAAAAATACTTTTTCTAAAATAAACATTTGTAACTTGATAGTAAAAATACACATAACGTGAATGCGGCATATTAATGATGCAAGTATTCGCCACTGTTGAGTTGGCTTTCAAGTAATAAAGTAGTAAAAATACTGAGATTTTATCCACAGGGACATGACTCCAAAGTTTTGAATAGTAAATCGAGAATACAATGATTTCGATTAGAGAAGAAGAAAATATATTTGAGCGAGTTTGATGATTTTAACAACGAAATATAAACAAGTAACTAAAAATGGGTATGAGTGTAAGTTTTTCTTGAGAGATCAGTAGTAACAAGATATTCAGATACTTTATGTCACAAAAACGTCTATAAAAATCCCGATATCTCGAAAGTGAATCTTTATAGACTATATCCACAAAGTGCCGACCATTATTGATTCTTAATCTTGCCAATCTGTCTAAGTTGATAAAAGAAATCAAGTTCGATTAGTATGAAGATTTAAACTCAAATCTCTTTGTGATATAAATCTCGACCAAAGTTTGAACATGAGCAAATCAATACAAAACATGTATCTCTACATAATTATCAAAAACTTTCTCAAAACTTTGTGCCTCATTTAAGCCGTATTTCGAATCCACTCATCTATGGGTCTAAAATATAATATTAACACTTAAAAGTGATCGACTTATCCCTCTTGAGTTTAAGTCCTGAATCAAGTGACCAAGTTCAAGAATAAGCATTGATAGCAACACTGAATGTTGCCTATTAATATTAAGTTTGACTCACATTCACATCCAAAGAACTGTTTAACTAATAACTGAAGGAAAGAACATAGTAAAAAAAAAAAGAGTTACTTAAAAGTTAAATATGTTGAAAGTAAAATACAAACTATGCCCACAGCTTCTCCAAAGTGGGCAACAGCTGAAAATAAATTATTTGAAAATAAATTACAACTATAACTATAAAATGTAAAAACAAGTGGTTAGAACTTTTACATCGCTCGAGCTCTCCACTAAAGGTTCACAAAGGCCTCTTATTTATAGATGGAAAGAAGCATATTTAATCTTCAGGCGAAAGGGGCACTATCCAACAAATCTTGTGATATCTCCAAATCTTGTTTTTGTACCCTTCAAGTGATCTTTTCCAAATCTTCAAGAAATCTTTCCGTATTTTCAATCTTTACCCATATCTTATCTTCATCTTCCTTTGCATCAAGAGTTTGTCATTCAATATTTCACTAATGTAGCTGAAATAAGTATAAGATTACACACAAAAATGATATTTTCAGCTGTCCTCAAGTTAGCGTCGCCCCCATAGTGTGGTGGGCATATTTCACAATCTAACACTTAACCCATAACTGATGCATATAACCATAAAACATCTTCAATAGCTCCAAATAAGAAATAATTAATAAAAGGATGAAACACGAACACATAAAGAGAAAACACAACTAAAACAGAAAATAGAACTCATACATATGATGTGTAAATAATGCTCAAAATGAGAGTTATCACAACCTTATTTATATTTTTAAATTACAAATACTTTATGTAACTTTTAGAATATATTAAAATGTAAATTTCATTTTGGTTCATGTGTTTTTATCTGTATTGCTATAGTTTGTTTATTCCAATTTTGTCATGATTTGTCATCTTGCTCCGATTAGGTCTATCTTTTAAATGAGGGGTATTTTGGTCTTTTCTTATTTTTTCAATTTTTCTTTAAAAAATAAAAGTTATATATTATTAAGAAAGTGGTTACCTGTACAATCAAAACCTTAACAAGGTTAAGAGTTCTAAACTCACCAATGAGGTGTGTATAAGCGTGAGTATTTACCGTATACGAATATTATGTACTTAAAAAAAGATGGATGAGACATGGCTTGGCCATGTCATCTTTACTTTAGTCTTGAGTCCACTTATCGTCGATAACGTCTCAACATATCATTACCAGGACATGGAGACACTAACATAGTTTTCCACCACGATTTCGTGTCATTGTTTGTCTACTTGCTTCTATTAA